AGCCATACAGAATAGAACTAAATGTTGAGTACGAAGCCTGTATGCGGTGTGGACCTTAGATCCATAGTACTCTTGTCTAGTTGAGGTCATGTATATTTCTTTCTATTTATAAGTACATATATATATATATATATATATATATATTAGCGTATACATTTAAGTGTAGTGATATCTATCTCCTACAATTGCCACAGACGCCTACCGATGGTACTAGACGCCGATGCTCAACGCCGCCGCATTCACAACAAATGACGGGAGAGTCAGAAACGCAGACCAGTTCTCCAGCACACACACACAACACAGATCAAACAATCGCACAAAGACAACAACCCAACGGAACAACTGCACAAGAGGCTCTCAGTACCACTAAGAGGGGGTCCAATATAGACTCGGATAGGACAACTGACACTGACACTGACACTGACACTGACGCCAGCGGTGACACCAAGGAAAAGATGCGTAGCAACCGTTCACATAAGAACAGTGCTTCAGATAATACGACAGCTGATGATAAAGCCCATAGTAGCGAGGGTAAGACCAATGCTAAAAATAGCACACTTTTAGGCGCAAACCACTGCGCGACCGCACCTCTAACCACAGCCACAGCCACAGCCACAGCCACAAGTCCCCTACTCAACCTGGAGAGGGTAAAGGGGAACAGGGCCAATACTAGTAACCACGCATACGACACCCAGGACACGCCAGGTATCGCCACAGCACCCCCCCACACAGACGCACCAGCGTATACGGCACAGACCAATGGCAAGCAGCAGGACAACACGACCAAAAGCGGGACGGAAAGCGGGACGGGGACCGGTACGGAGAGGAGGGAGGGGGATGGCTCAGCACAGCCACAGAGTCATCAACCACAGACACAACCTATGCACCACACAAACACAGCTAATGCACCGCAGAACAACGTCCACCACTCGGCAGACGGACACAGTCGGCAGAGCAGTGAACAGGCCGAGGCACAAGACACGCACTCACACACAGCACACCAACACAACACACAGCAAAGGAAGACACAGAATGGCATGCAACACGATGGGCCGTTAACGAAGGAGGCGGTCATCAAGCGAGAGGTGGGTATTTACTATGCTGTGACGAATGCGCCCAGTGCTTGATGATTGCATGTT